TGTGCTTGCATGGCCTTGACAATACTGGCAGTCTTCTAGATCCATCTATGAACGCTTCAATTGTATCTAAAAAGTCCTTGTATTACTATTAGGTGCTTTGAGCTGCCTATACTTATTGCTCAAATTAGTGAAGAATTTGCTTCCTATCACTCCCAATGTTGGAATGTGCAGCAATAAGATTTGTTGCTAGCCGTTTGTTTTGTGGTTGCCGTGAGCATCACCGCCACAGTAGTGGAGGCAACACTGAATGATGGGGTTATTCCCATCATGGGAACACCATCCGCACAGAGGTTTATTAACATCTCTATGTAATCAAGTGGTGTGCTTCACTGTCCGAAGAGTGCTCAATACCCATGTGGGGCAGAGCCTCCCCCCCCCCCCCTCCAGTGCCTGATGATCGTAGTAATACGTGAAACTCAGAGTTGTGACACAGCTTCCAATCTCTCTTCTGTATTTAACATCTCTAATATCTCTACATGCATGTCCTTGATTGCAGTTCACATGGACAACAAGGTCTATCCTACTATGCAGACAGGCACAACAGCACATCACCCATCGACACAATGAATCCGTTTGCAACATCCGTCTCACCGTCAACCACCGGGCAACACGTCCGCCTCCGCATGCTGGGATTTCAGCCATCGCTCCGGAACAGAACCGACCAATACTACTCTATCTCGGAGTTTGAAGTCACCGGACGGTAAGTGATAGCCTGACGGCATATCAATAGCGGTGTGTGTATGTGTGTGTGGGGGGGGGGGGGCAATCTATGGTCGTATTGTTACTTGTGTGCTGCCTTTCAATCCACGAGTCAAAAGATGATAAAAGGAGAATCTCCAGCGCGAGTGTAGGACGCAGGATCCATTCTGTTGATCGCACATCTTCGCCCTGCTGTGCGCCAATAGATTTTGACAATTCGTTCCGCTTTCCAGTCACGAGTCTTAATCATGGGGCCTAGTCCAATCATGCCAGCTACTGCCAACAGACTGTATCATTCCTGTCTATCATGGTCGCATGTCCTTTCTCTGATCTCTGCACAACAGATGTGCGTGTAACGGGCATGCTGACTTTTGCACCATCAACTCCATCACAGGCATCAACCAGTGTGAATGTCAGTACAACACAAAGGGTGACGCGGTGAGTTCTTCGTGCTCTCACTCCGAGTGTGCGTGTGTAACTGTGTGCATACAACGTTATTTTAAGGATCTTTGCTGGGTTTACACAGATACAGGGGCCCATGCAATGTACCGATACTACTCCTGTTCTCTCCCTCGAACTACCAGTATCTATACTACCTACCTGTCCTATCCATCTACCACATCACCTTTGTGTACAACATCTACTCTAGATCAAGATTTGGGGAAATACCCTCAAAGAGCTGGTGGTGTTGTACGTAACCTACAGGGTCATTCAAATAATAATTCATTATTTTCAAACCTTTTGGGAGAACACACTACCTTTTCAGCAGTATCTTATCTCCCTCTGCTGTTCATTATGTAGTGTGAGAGCTGCCAGGACCTGTTCAATGCTAAGCCATGGTTGCCGGGAAACTCCACATCACCGAATGCCTGTCTTGCCTGCCAGTGCAACGGCCATGCAACGTTGTGTTCCTATAACCGTACACTGGATTCCGATCCAAGCAGCAGGGCGCTGGGCGATGGAGGCCAGTGTATGTGTCGAGACAACACTGCAAGTGCACAATGTGATCAGTGTTCAAGGCACTACTACCGTGATGTCTCCAAGTCGCTCAACAATATCGCTGTATGTCTGCTGTGCGGGTGTAGCACCTCTGGTGTTAGCGATGACGGAGATTGCATAAAGGCAAGGAATTTTCTGGTGAATGCTCGTTGGCTTGACGGTTATGTGATGTTTACGATTTTCAATGTCTTAGCGATGCATTTGCCTACTGATCGTACTCTTTGGTCCAGAAGTATGTTTAGGAAAGGGTAGCCAGGATTTGCTCAAAAATAATGAAACACAGTACCGAATTTCCACTCGGTGCTTAGGTATCTCTGGGTTCTTGGTTTTGATATTATCCCTCGAGGCGCACCAGCTACAGAATTTGATGTTACCTCAACATCGTGTTTGACAAAGAACAGTGATTAGAATTCAAGTACGGCTAATGTGTGCTTGTGAAAAACAAGAATAATATAGTTGAGGGTGACCATGGGATTGTATTGATAGTATTATATTACCCCCCCCCCCCCCTCCCCCGAGGATCGATATTTGGCACATGCCGTATTTGGTGCTGATTAGCTGTTTCATAGCTTAGCATTTCACAAGAATGATTGCTTTGCATAGGCTGACGTTTGTTCTGTTTTCTGCTTTTCTAAACTGCAGAGTGGCATTCAGCTTGGTCAGTGCAACTGTAAGCCCAACATTGGTGGATTGAAGTGTGACGTGTGCTCTCAGCATGCTTACCTGAACACTGCACTTGGCGAGTGTGTGCACTGTAACTGCTCTACGGCAGGTGCGCTGAACGCTAGCTGCGACGACGCTAACGGGCAGTGCTACTGCAGGGCAGGCTTCCAAGATCAGCTCTGCAATGGATGTGACGTGGGACTGACGGGCGTAACCTGTAGCCAGTGCGCCAGTGGATTCTGGAATTACAGCGCCACCACCGCAACCTGTCGCCCATGCTCTTGTTCAACCGCCACCGGTGCCGTTGACGACATGTGCGATCCCGTCAGTGGCCGCTGCACGTGCCGGCAGGGATTCGACTCGGCGGATTGCTCGGCATGTGTGGCTGAAGCCGGCACACATGGACCGTTGTGTAATGCTTGTTTACCTGGGTTCTACGGGTTCAATGGCACATTGTAAGTATGAGGATTTGGTGAACGTATGACCTTACCTGGCTAACCTATACGTACGCTTATTATGATATCAATAATCCGTAGGGTTAGAACACTATTAGGAAGTGCAGGACAGCCGGAAGCAGTTTTGTTCGGTCCAGCAGCAATATGGCCTTTCATACATTTGTGTATGACATGGCGGGTACACATGTGTATGACATGGCGGGTACACAATGTGTATGACATGGCGGGTACACATACCCTCCACAGTAGTACACATGTGTTGGTGGTCAAAATGTTGGTCCGGTGATAACCGGACCAACTGGACGGGCTCCGGCAGCCCTGCAGTGAAACACAACTCCCACGCCATAGTGGAGGGTAGATGATTGATGTGAAATGTTCCAAGGAGATGTCTCCTGTTCTGTCGCTAGTGCTCCGGCTACACATGAAGTAACGCCTGGCCGGGTTGCTGAGATGAGACACCTCACACCGTTACTAGTGATCTGAGATATCTGTGTGTCTTGTGCTCTGAATGTTCGAATGGGATTTTTCGGTCTTTGACCGCTTTGTGGTGGGTCTGATCTACACACCTCCCACCGCTTTAGGAGCTGCATTTGCGCCTTCATCCTAGAGGGTGATGGCGCTCTTACGGATGCGGAAAATTCGGCCTCCAGCCGCGTCTCACGCGAACCGTGATTTTTTATGCTCTGTTTCTTTCTGTGCGCTGTTGTCTATCCAGCTGCCAGCCATGCCGGTGCAATGGTGCTGGGTCTACATCAGCTACCTGTGATGCGACAACAGGTGCCTGCTCTTGTCTTGCTGCCTTCACCGGTAGAGCCTGTAGGGAATGTCGTACAGCTCACGGCACGGCCGGTGTCAACTGCACGGCATGCAGGGATGGATTCTTTGCCTACAACGGCTCACAGTAGGTTGCAACCAGTTTGCTGTAAACTACATGTGTGTACAGGTGTTCGAGCATGCTTTGCATGGGACATTCCCTGCATTTCCCCAGTGTGTTACCTTTGCTTCTAAGTGGTGTTTATATCCATTTTATTATCAAGCAAAATCCCGGAGATGTACTCATTGCGGATAGACCTGAGCTCTGCTGAGGAGACCTAGATTGAGTAGACAACGTACGTGTAATTATTATATTGCTACCATGCGCATGCCTCACTCACTATGCTGCTCTGTGCCGGTCTGCTGCAGCTGTATGCCTTGTCAGTGCAACTCAGCGGGTTCCATGCTGGTCGGGTGCGGTGCTGATGGGTCTTGCACCTGCAAGCTGAATGTGATGGGTCAGAAATGTGACCAGTGCACTGCTGATAGCTTGGTGTTGGGTGCTGTTAATCCAGAGGGTTGTGGGAAAGGTAAGAAGCGCTACTAGCATGCATGTTAGGTGTATGTTAGTTGTTATTGTGTGGTACTCTGTATGTAAGTGGACATGGACAGTCTGTAATGGTCGTAGCGTCCGTATTGGATCGTTCTAAGTTGTTCACAGCTCTGCTACAGCCCCCCCCCCCCCACACACACACACATACATGCTGCATTCCCCCCTAATATAAGTCGATTTTGAATGAAAGTTGACTCACCCAAATCAGAAAGTTGGTTTCAGGAAAAACGTTTTACTGTTAACGACATTCCAAAATGATCAATTTTGTGAGGTTTTTCGCAAAAATAATGTCACCAAAACCGGTGTCATTCAGTGTCATCTTGCATACAAAATTCTTCTATGATGTCTTCTTCATTGTTGCAGTGAGACCTCCGATATACACTGCAGTCTCTCAGACATCGTTTCGACTTCACTGGTTAGCGCCGAGTGCAACAGGCATTGTCTCCTACAGTATATTTGAGGACCGAGGTGCACACGTGTCTGCGCTGAGAGTACACTTCACTACCAGTGCTGGTGGCGGTGGCCGATTGATAAGCGGTCTGGTACCACTGCAGACCAAGAGGTACTTCTTGAGAGCTTGCACGACCCTGCGCTGCGTCAATAGCAACTCGTCGTCTGTCACAACCCTATCGGGTGGTAAGAAAGAGGCCATTGTGTATGTGTTGGTGGCTGGGGTGAGGGGAGTTTGGGGATCGGAGGACTTGTTTTGGCATGTAGGTTTATATCTGGGTACTTCAATTTTCTATTCAGTTATTGTGAACAGTGAAGGGCATGGATGAGGCATTCTGGAAGAGGATGATGTACCACAGAACTGCCTCAGGGTTGCAGAAGTGGGCAGGTGTGGACCTGAAAGACTACTATTATTTAAATCCCCTCCCCTCCACCCCCTCCCTCTCCCCTTCCCCCTCCTCCTCCTCCCTCCTCTCCCTCTCCACGTCTTCCTGCAGTGAATTTGTATATTTCCAAGACCACAACCTATGTGTCTAGGGTCTGTATGGGAGAAAAAAGCCTTGGAGCAAGTTGACAATTGATCAGTGCTGCCAAATAATTTTCGCCCAAAATCGGATACCCTTCACCGCCAAGGCTGGCCACATGGTGCGCATTTTTCTCCTCGGCAATTTTTTTACAGAGAATTCAAAATATCGCCTAAAACACCATGAAAATTCACTTCGTTGCCATGGTAACCCCGGAGTTGTCATGAATTTTGTAATGATGAGTGTGGTCGCACACTGACTCTGTACAGACTGTCAGCGTACATGCCATCCAGCCTGATCCAGGCATGTTACTTTGCACTTCCACAGCCAAGCGCTAGCCTTTTTAGAAGCAAATGTACAGTGATTTGTGCCTTCAGTTGCGCTGAAAAGTGAAAGTACAGGACTTCTGCATAGGGAAGTAATGATCTGTGACATTTTGGCTGCTTTTCGGACGTTTCCCTTTTCGGACCGGTTTTCGGAAGAGCCTTCAAAAATCGGACACTGTCCGAAAAATCGGACGGTTTGGCAGCACTGCAATTGATATATTTCTTCTCTTGCTCCCTCGCAATTGTTCTTTGCTGTTCTCTGCAGTACCAACACATCAAGGCAACCCAGCAGTTGCTCTGAGAAACGTCTCCACGCTGATAAGCTGGCCCGAGGCAATACTATCCACTCAAGGCGATGTGTCCTACCAACTGCATGTCATCGAGTCCAGTTTCCAGGCTACGCTTGGCCAGTCGAGATCACACGGGGCACAGTTCTATCGGAATGGTTACGCCAAGGTCAACGTCTCCATGGCAAGCGACAGTGAACTGCAAGTCAGCATGACAATCAGAACATTCTATCCTAACTGTTTGCTGTACCTCGCCATCAACTCGTCGGCTAGCTCCTTCATGGCGGTCCATGTTAGGAACCGTCAGGCATGCATACTTGTGAGTTCTTTGCATGGAACTGACATGCTGTGTGCACCAGCAACTGTGGATATAAGTGATGGCAGCTCACATGCAATAGCTACATCCGTATCAACACGCCTCGAGATCGGTATCGACGGCGCCCCTCGGTCTGTACTTCCCACGCTTACGTCGGCAATCAGGTTGTCATTTGCTGATGTCTACATCGGCGGAATACCTACCGAACTACTGGCTCAGTTTTCTCCGACTCCTCAGCTTGTAACACACTCATTCATTGGCTGTTTCTCTGAGCTCGAAATCCAGGGCTCAGTGATTAGCCTGGCGGACTCCGTGTTGGAATCAGCAGGCATGAATCCTGCTTCGTTCGGCTGCGTTTCCCCACAGCGACGTGGCATTCACCTGCTAGGAGCACCGTCGGATGGCTTTGTGGGTAGCTCGCTCAACCCGATTGCTGCATCCGGCGTGGATTTTAACGTGTCTCTCTCGTTCAGGACGCAGTCGCCCAACGGCTTGCTCATGTACACACAAAGCCTATTGGGCCCTGCTGACTTTGCTGCTGTGTACATAGTGAACGGATCGCTGGTGTTCGCGGTTGACAATGGTGACGGCATGCACCGCGTGTCCGTGGCTAACTCAACTTCGCTCTGTGACGGTGCATGGCACTCGATTACCTGCACCAAGTCCGACTCGCTGATCACACTTAGTATTGACGACACGCAGACAACCTCGACAATGGTGATTTCGGCGGACAGTTCATGCAATGTATCCGGAGCACTGTACTTCGGTGGCGCCCCGGCTGATCTTGCTGTTCACAATCAAGCAGTTCAGATCGTTGGATTCTCCGGATGCATCCACGACATGGCTGTCAACCAGCAGACACTTAACGTAGATACCAGCGCGTACGCCCAGCTGGATGGCTGTCCTGTCTCCGGGACCAGCCCACTGCCATGTCATCTCAGTGCAGCGGAGGGATCTAGCTTGAATCCCAGACTGGTCTACAGTGGCAAGTCCAGGAAAGCACTACTGGCAGCCACAACGTACCCCGCATCATCAGGTTAGGAAAGTGTGTCATGCACGTATAAGTCCCTGCGTGGAACAGTGATATCACTGGTCAATTTGAATGAAGACTAATGCGTTGTATTGTAATGTATGTAGGTTTCATGCCAATGAGCACTTATAGCAAGAAGGAGCCACGGGCGTATGTGATCCTCGGTAGCCTAATCGGCAGGGCACTGTCCAGGAAAAGAGGGTGCTGGGCTCGAATCCTGCTCGTGAATCATTCTTTTGCACCACACTCTGCAATTCAGAACCATGCAAAATACACACACCTCATCACTACATCACTATACTGCGCAAGCGCTCATGTGTGTATATGTATGTGTGTGTGTGGGGGGGGGGGGGGGGGGCATGCTTAACCTATGCATATTGCTGACCCTCTGGACTTGATTCCTAGACATAGAGCCTCAGAGGCATGCACACCAGGATAGTTCATCTACACATGCCTGTCTTGCCGCTAGTAGTTCAACCCTATGTACCATGATTGCTTGTACACAGACAGAAAACTAAGTCCTTACCTGTATTATCAGCCGGCTGGCTCCTGATGCCTAGCCTCCTGTGTATGAAAGCTAGGACTTTTCCTTTCTCTCTACGTTATGTGTATAAAGCTCTGTACCCAGGCGTAACGAGCACTCTTTCAAGCTGCTACAAGTGGTTCTGTCGTATGGCGGTGTTGTTACTGAGATCAGCAGGCTGACATCCCTTGTATGTGCCGTGTTAATGCTTGAACAGACTTGCTGTTCCGGGTATCAGCCGTGACGAACAGTGGAATGGCCAGGAGCAACTGGACAGCTCTACATTTGTCGGATTCTGGTGAGAAGTTCTTTGTGCTCTCCTGGAAAAGATTGGTTTGGATTGTTTTAGCCTTTCCGGTTTCAGTGCTCATCCTTTCATTACAAAGTGAAATACATGTAGATGTACTCAATCTGTGGACAGAACTGTTTCGTCCTTTGTGGACTCATCAGCGCAGCACAGAGAAAATGAGGCCGAACCTGATAGCAATGAAAAATAAAATAAAATTCCAAAGCCAGATTTAAACCACGCCCGAACGTACCTTTGCCAGATGTATGCATTGTTCTAGATCGACCAGCATGCTTGGCATAGTCATAGGGTAGGTTATGAGAAAGTTCAGCGTAAGCTAAACCGATATGTACATGTACTCGCATACCTATTTCCCCGGAGGATACACTAAATGTGCTGAGAGTGCTCAATACTGCGGAGGCAGAGTGTATTACACAGTACAACAGTGGAACAACAAGACAGAACATATTACACAGGACAACAAATGGCAAGGATAGTTTGCTGCCACTTTGAGTTTCATGTGCCCGGTGATTGCATAGGTATGAAACTCTTGGAATTTAGCCTTGCTCTGTATCGTTCTGTGTACAACTATTTCTTATACTATGCTCCTTTCCTTGCTCTCCCTCTCTGTTTGTTTAGTGGCGACTGGACTCGCCTCACCGGCTTTTCGCTTCGCACCAGTGTCACGCTCGGCCTTTGTCACCTTCTCACCTCCTAGCCACGCTAACGGACTGATTCTGCACTACAGCATTGCTCTGGTTGCATCGCCAACGTTCTCCCAGGACTACCTACCCTACCTCCCCAGTCTTGCCCAGTCCCGGGTCGTGGTGGCACTGCAGCGTAACGTGTTCAGTCACGTTGTCACGGACTTGCTCCCGGCACGCCGCTACAGCGTGCACATCGAGGCGTCCACTGCTGTGGGTACAGCACAGAGCATGGCAGGGGGCTTCGTAACACCGGAGGCTGGTAGGTGCAGGTTTGGAAAAGAAACATCCATTGATAGTGCACTCAATACCAGATCAGGGGACACATTATGTACATGTGTGCCATACTATGCATTATGTACTTGTGTGCCATACTATGCCGGCCTATCACAGTGTAGTGAGTGGGTAGAGATGAGGTTGGTAGGTGTAGGCTTGGAGAAATAGAGACAAGGAACCCACTGATAGTGCACTCGATACCAGATCGGGGTACATACTATGCCGCAGTGTCATGGCACGCATGGGGATTGTGCATCTCAAAGACCTAGAGCTGGTAAAGGTCAGTCGGTGGCTAGAGTTTTCTCGATAACTAGCACGGGGGTACATAATGGCATGCCCCCTACCCCAAATGCTGCCGCACTGTCATTTACAACACTGCATGTTTGCCTGACTGAATGAAGTGTTTCAATGTGTACCTTTTAATTATCTCGGATAATGAGCCAGTAATAAATGTAAAATGGAAGCAGAAAGCACAAGGAAACGAGTTATGAAGCAACTATCCACGACTGTATAGCTTATGTAGCTCATGTAGCCTATGTAGCTTGTCGACTCATTAATTTCATTTTATTCATGGTTTTCACAATCCCATGCACACTGGTCCTCCTCTATCCTGTTCTTGTGTGTGTATTGCAGCCCCTAGTTCCTTGCGCTCCCCGAGCATCACCGCAGTAGGTTCTCGTAATGCTAGTGTGTCGTGGACATTGCCCGATCAGCCTAATGGCAACCTGTCAGCGTTGATCGTGTGGGTCAACGGACGGGAAGCGCTCCGCTCCAGCAATCCTCTGATCTTCGTGTATCAGCTGATGCCGCTGGAACCCTATATGGTGTACAGTGTACGGGTGGAGTACTGCACGGCCACTGGCTGTGCAATCAGCGTCAACGACACCGCGTTCACCACTCTGGCAGCTGCACCAGCAGGTGTGGCGCCACCCACGGTCTCGGCGCTGGGGGATTCAAGCATTGAGGTGGTGTGGACTGCTCCGACACAGGAAAATGGCATCATATCAGGATATGACATACTATCTGGTGATACACTTCCGTACACTGTTCTCCGTCAAGTGCCTGTGATCAACAGAAGAGTGGTAATTGACCAACTCAAGCCAGCCACTTTATACATGATTCGTGTGAGAGCGACGAATCAAGCCGGCTCCACAGCCAGCATCGCAGCCTCTGTCACAACGTTGGAGGGAGCTCCGGCGGGGATTTCCCCTCCTTCTTCGCTGGGCATCAGGTCACGAAACATAACACTCGCCTGGCAACCACCTGCTATTCCGAATGGAGTCATCATCCGATATCGGGTCATTGCAGACGGCAGAGCGGTGCAAACTGTGACAGCAGACATGCCGCGGATCGCAACCATCGACAACTTGACGCCATACACCAATTATTCCTACTCGATCGAGGCGTGCACAGCTCGCCTGTGTGCAACTGGCAGCGAGTATACTGTTCGGACACTGGAGGACGTCCCAGCCGGTCTTCAACCTCCGCGCCTGACTGTTTTATCCAGTACTGCAGTGCAGGCAAGCTGGCAGGAGCCAGTCGACAAGAATGGACGCATACGCTACACACTGTTTATCCACGGACCAACCAGCTATAGCAATGGCGTGCCAATGAATACAACTCAAGTAATATCTGGCATTGCCGAAAGTGAACAAGTATATAACATCAGCAATCTTCTGCCGTTCCAACACTATTCCGCTGTAGTTCAAGCTTCCACTGTGGCAGGAGGCATCAACAGTAGCCTTAGCCTAGCCATTAGAACCCTTCAGGATGGTAAGTGGTGTTTTATTTTTTTTAAGCAAGCTGTTTCAGAGATAGGTCCACTTTGCTTCTATACCATTGTGTGTGGGTATAGTGCCTTGGTTGTCTTACACATAACTGACTTGGCTAATAGTAATACAGCCTATGGGATGTCTTGAAGTCTTGAAGCTGCAGGATACATTACTTCTAAAGTAGTAAAGACATCATTTCCTGTCGGTATATGGCACGCTGTTCTCACTTCTGCCAATCTGTGTGCCTGTTTTCTCCACCACCCCCTGTACAGCTCCTACAGGTATTGGCAATGTCACGCTGAACGTGACGAGCTCAACCAGCCTGCAGGCATCGTGGACGAACCCGGCACGCATCAACGGCATCATAACACAGTTTGCACTGCTGCTGGAGGACCTGACACGTAGCAGAGCTGTGCCGTCGGTGGTACTCAACTCCAGCATATACACGACAACTGTAGCCAGCCTGCTGCCCTACACTATGTACAGCGTGCAGCTACGTGTCAGCACTGGCGGTGGAGTGGCTAGTGGCTCTAAGGCGACTGCCAGAATGCTGGAAGATGGTACGTTCACTTCGTACTTGTGACGTCTCATCTGGTTGACTGTACCACTCTTTACTCGTTCATAATGATACCTGCAAAGTTTTCCAACTTCCGTGAATATGCACTCATATTTTTCTTCACGTCAATAGCCACTCAAATTGAGAAGAGAATGCAGGAGCGCTGATAGTGAACGGGCCTGCAATGGTCGTGACATGGCTTGTACACACTCCGACAGGTATTCCTTTGCATTCTGAAAAATTCATTGTTGCCAGCTCTTACCAGACGATCTACAGCTCTCACCAGACGATCTCTTCCTTATTGTCTGTCTGCGTATGTGCGTGTGTGTACGTGCGTGTGTTTGTGTGACTTGTAGTTCCGTCTAGTTTACTTGCTCCCACTTCGACCAATGTCACATCTAGAGGGTTTGACTTGCTGTGGCCAGAGCCAGATTTTCCCAACGGCAGGATTCTCCGCTATGAAGTCTTCCTGGACGGTCCACAGGGCGTGCGCCGCTTCACCACTGCACCGCAAGCGCGGGCGTACCGTCTCGACGGCTCCGCTGGAATAGGACTCTTGCCGTTCACGACATACTCGGTGTGGCTGTCAGCCTGCACAGCGGTCGGCTGCGGGAGAAGCCCGTCAGTTGCCGTGGCTACATCGCAGGACTGTGAGTGGTCAGCTGCAGTGTTCAAAATGTGTGCACCACTTGTACGATGGTGGATTGATTTGTGTGGTGTTAGAGACACGGGAGAGTATTCATGACCAAAGGCTAACTCAACACAATTTGCGTATCATGATGCTGGGGTAACTTGTGTATGCCTTCAATGGCAGCTATCTTAAAATTTGTATAATTCATTTCTGATGTTTTTGGTGCAGGCAAGGCCCTGTCATTCAGACTCTTTGTGTTTAGCATTTTCCTGCTATCATGGATAACTAAAGGAAGGACAACATTTACATTGGCTTCACATCTGAGTTCAAGTTTCCCTGTAACTAACTATGCCTTTGTTCCTGTATTGCAGTTGCTTCGGGACTTGATCCACCCACGCTGCTGAGCGGTAGTGCAACTGGCTTGAACTTTACCTGGAAGGCTCCACGGCAGCCGAACGGAATAATCCTCTCCTACACGCTCAGACTCTTGTCTTCAGATGGAATTCGAACCGTTTCTACGACGACGATCAACATTACACAGACACCCCAGGCTTCTCTCACGGCAGTGTTTGCGCCGCTGACGCCGTCAACACATTTCATCGCGGAGCTGGAAGTGAGGAATCCTGTCGGGCGCTCCCTAGCGCCGCGTGTTACAGCCAACACAACTGATGGAAGTAAGGAAATGATATGCGCACTCTTAACTAAACGTTGGCACGTCATAATAGTTAGCGTGGCGATATTTATTCATTGGGTTTGGGATTTGAGAGAAAGGCCACGGTAGCTGATCCATGTCAGGTAAAGTTGCCAAGATACACTAGCTAAGGGGCTGACTCCAACGGTTGAGTGTGTGTGTGTGTGTGGTGGTGGGTAGCCAGTTTTGACTTCTTCGAAATGGCCATTGCTGGTGTGACTGATAGTATTGGCAAGCATGCTGTAAGTGCACACATTGTCTACGGACAGAGACTGGACTTTGATGCACACGCTCCAAGGGGTCAACCTAATTTTCTCTGTTTGTGCGCCTTTGCCAACTTGTACCACCCTCACCACCCCCACCAGCTCCGGAGAATATATCTGCTCCTGTACCCACTGCCCTGAATTCGACAGCAATCCGTGTGTCTTGGGTGAGGCCGGGCGTGGAGAATGGCAAAGTCACATCGTACACAATCTTCAGGTGAGTTCAGGACGATTGTAGTATCCATACCCAAGGAAGGGGTGTGGGAAGACAGGGGTGGGGGGGGGGGGTAAGAGGGATGTGGAAGGGCGTGGGAGGGAGGAGGAGGGGGGGGGGGGGAGTGGTGAAACATTGAAACAATGAGGCTGGGAGAAAAGATAATTGTGTTCCTCCTTTGATCAAACATTGTGGAAAACTAAACTAGTGCTAACAACATGGGAGTATAGCTCAATTGGAAAGACACATACTGGGAAACTCAAGATGATAACAAGTCTATACGGGCACATATCCATGCAAGGTAGTGTCAGTCTCCATCCTGAAGCCGGCTGCTAACTTGTATCTCTGGTGATCAGGACGGCCACTTGCGCGGGTTGGACACCCTATGTTCGTATGCAGTCTTTGTACTGGGAGGACTTGAACCCGAGGACACCCATTGGTCTGTTGTAAAAGCAATATCATCACTTACTGCCTCACTCAATGCCTGTAGCTAGTTGTACCAACAAGGACATTGGAAGTGTGCATTTCGTGAAGTTGAACGCTTTGCTGTATCTAGAGGTAGGACATTCCCCATTAAGTGTCTACAGTCCATTTCAAAACTATAGACGCGTACCTAGGCAAAAACCGTTATGCCAGCATCTATACCACATAAAATCTGTGATCACTTTGTGCATAAATTTTTCCAAATTGGGCGTCTGTTATCCAATCCTTTAGAAACTATATGAGAGTAATTGTGGAGCGATCCTGAGCAATATTCCGAAAACTATTCTCAAAAAGTTCCAGCCAAATTTGAAATAATTCAAAAACCCTACGCGTCTATAGTTTTGAAATGCACTGTAGGTACAGTGTTTCTACACACATGACGGAGCTTGAATCTGAAAGTATAGTTGAAAAGATGCGGGCTGTAGTACAGCGATGGAAAACTCCAGCATGCGGCGTCGGGAGGTCTTGCTGTACTATATTAGTGCTCAGCCTCATGTTCATGCCTACCCATACCTATGTGCCAGGGTCTTTGCAGGGATCGGTGAGAGAACTGCTCCTCGAATACGACTCTGCATTGACAGTCCTTCACGTTCTTCGCACCATTGGGGTAGAACACATTCCCGGGAGGTGAGACTGAAGTGAGTTCAGCACCTTCACCAGCTTTCTGGACGCAACGCCCACTGAGCGAGATATGGTGTTCATGTACGGTGCACTTCCTCTGTCACCCCCACAGTCCCCGATGACAAGCAGCACATTGGAAAGGTTGCTAGAGCTGGTAGGGCATTGTGACGCCATCGTGCGGGCTAAGTCACTGTGGAAAGGGGCAACAGTTTGCCCACAGTCTTTGCTCTTACCCAGCGTGAGTAAATACCACTACTCACCCACAAGACTAGGAAAGGAGACCAGTGGATGATAGCACAGCAATGTAGACTGGGCAACACAAGCAACACCGAAGAGCTAAGCAGCCTCGTGGGCACGATCCAGAGTCCCTGCTACTCTCTCCCATGCATTTGTGCAGAGTAGCTAACGATGCTAAACGTGATACCAGCATTATTATCCCGTTACCTTACTTGCCGTCAGTTGGTTGCAATGCAAGACAAGCTAGCCATGGTCTCCACGGGGCAAAGCTCGCAACTGCCAAGTCACCCGACAAGGGCACATGCTGGCTGTTAGCCTGGAACTAGAAGAGCATTGTGCTATTTCTGCGGCAGCGCTCAACCATTGCTGTCTCCTGTAGCAAAGTCGGGACAGTGTAGTGGCAAATTTCAGCAGTGTGGTGCTCCTTGTGGTCTCCTGTATCAAGTCTGACCAGTGTGCGGCGGATTGCAACAGTGCGATGCGCCTTGTGGTCTCATGTGTCAAGCACTGCCGTTCACATTCCATTCAACATCCTTGGCTAGCGTTTACTTCCTCCACGTCATTAAAATTGTCGCTTCGCACATTGCAATATTTGAGACTTGGCTCGTCTTAGTCAGGCTGTCGGAATAGCTGTTTTCTGTGTTCGAACACTGGTGCGACCCTTCCTGCGCAATGTCTACTTTTCACTGAAGCTGTGATGGTCTCGGACTTTGTCGGAGCTCTCTTCCGCACCAAGCAAATTCTACGCGCTCCGCACTATTCCGCCTCAGAGTGCATTTCGTTTTCTGGAGTTCGTGCCGTCTCACATCGTTCGCGTGGGCATTTATCAAGACTGCAAGCTCGGGTATAAGAATCCTGGTATCTCTCTTGAATACGAAATGCTGAAGTTGGCGATGGCAAGAAAAAAGCGGTCTCAAATTCCTAAAATGCGCTACTTGTGGCGCATGTTGCTGCGAAGGTAGCAGGTCTGAAAACACCAACCAAATCAGCGAAGCGCTTGCCAAGGAAAGAAGTTGCGAAACTGCTTACCCTATCCCGCTGGAAGGTCGTTACACTGTACTTGAAAAATGCTAGCTTGCCTTCATCGCCTGCCACCTGGAGGCATGGATCGCTTGAAAACGAAGTTTCTTGACCTGAATTTGAACGCGCGTCTTCAGCGTATTGTTGAGTGCTGAAGGGTCTGCCTCAAACTCTGATGAAGACGTCGACCTTAGCTGCAAGTGCACCGAAGCGGGAGGCCACAAACTAAAGCTTGGTCCGTCGACAATGCTCTTCCTCAATTTCTAGCTGATTTCTTTGCCCTTCGAGTGGACAAAATATATTCGAAAAATCGCTCTGGGAAGCGACAATTTTAATGACGCGGAGGAAGTACTTCTTAAGCAGATCTACTTTCTGGGTTCTGCCAAGCTGCTCTGGACCGGCCTTCAGTACAGATGATGTTGCTCTGACTCTACCGGTATACGTACATGTATGTTCATTTTCCTTTCATGTCCCCGACCTAGATATCGTCCTTGCTGCGTTCGACAACCAAGGGGATTTATGGTAGTTCAACAAGACTAAGATATGGTCTTGGTGCATGCAGCATTGCTATGCACGGGAGCGAACAGGCTTCTGGGGACAAATCAGTTAATATTCTGCTGCTCTGGATGCATATACAAGCTCTGCCTCATTACTAGATAGTCGTTGGCCCAACAAACGTATTATTTTTATAGTGAGACATATTTTGTAACAGAGCTTGCAACTAAATATGCAAGAGGTATTGATTCGCACTATTCTGGGGTTCGCTCAATACAGCACAACATTGTCGGCACTCCTCTCACTAGTAGGTGATTGGAACGTGCAACTTGGGCATTTCTTGAATGCGAGAAGATCTTATGGCTCTACAGAGTACGCTGATGTACAATGCCGTGTCTTTCTACTTGATAATTTGGAGTTAGATCTTTTTCTTGCACAGTGGAGATTATCTGGTTCACCATGGGGCTTAGACGAAGAGTCCTACGAACGAATTATATGTACTACTTGTCAAGTAGCAAATTACTCAATCTGCGGACTGAACTGTTTCGTCCTTTGTGGACGCATCGGCGCAGCACAGAGAAAATGAGGCAGAACCTGTTAGCAATGAAATATAATTTTCCAAAGCCGGATTTAAACCAGGCCCGAACGTACCTTGCCAGAGTGCTCAAGTAGCACATTATGTTGTAACAGGGCCGTTTCACGTTTGTATAGACCCTGTTTTGCCAGGAGACTTCAGATTTCTACTTACTAACGAGGTTTTTAAAATGAGGGAGGACCTGTACCAAGAGTACATAACCCCCCAGAGTGTGCAACTCCCACATACCCTGCTGTCCCGACAGAATTTCAAGTTGACGTCATTATTTCTGACGCAATGCTCCTTGCACCAGTGATTTACAACATGTGTACGGGTGTCAACGCATCACACGCTTTTCTTTGCAATAATTGTACAGGATCAGGTCGGCTTTGGTCAACCACAGGTTCCGGATTCGTCTGATAATCCGTGTACAGTGCGCATTGCATCATCAAAATGACGTCAACTTGAAGTTCTGTCGGGACAGCACCCATAGTGGAGTTGCACACTCTAGGGGTGTTCCGTATTCCCCGGAACCAGGTTGCATCAGTACCGTAACTGTAATACCGACTGCGGATACTTTCCGAACCCACGTTCAACAATGGAGACAAACTTTACTGGTTCGAGTTCTCACTCTCAAAACACCAACTCCATCTTGGATTATCTTGGATGCACTCTAACAATGCCCTAGCAAAATCTATCAAGAACCTAGCTAGAACTGACTGTAGAACAAAGAATACACAGCTACATGTATAAGCAAGCGTCGATGTGTATAGGGAGTACAAGCAACACTGTCAATGGTGAATGCGTGACGTAGTCTAATGAGTACGTGTTGGCGGTCAGACACTTGACCTTATCGTATTATGGTATGAGTCATGCACATGTATGGAGCTTGAGGCAGTCATGCATGGCTACAGGTGTAGTGCTCGATGAATGCACGCAAAGTGCAGTCCTGTAATGTGACCTGTTGAAACCTGAACGGTACCAGGCGTCACCACGACTCCGACATACCTCCCTCGCGAACGAATCATAGCCTAATCAATGTATGCGAGTGAGACAAACTAATATTCCGAGTGATGTTCTAACTCCTGGGGAACTGCTATTGGATGTCACACCTAACATCATTGTGTCAAATGCATGCCGTAACGTCACTAGACATATCCGGGAACGAGGATACGTCTTATCTAGCCGGTTGGATGTATTGTTCACTCTGATTGTGGATTGCTTGCTAACACTACAGTCACAGCCTTACTACCTCATCGCCACTGCCGTACCACCATCCACTATTCGCTCAGCTGGTGACATTGTCCACATTGACGTTCGCTGTGGCTGGGCAGTTCTCGGAGTCGAGCTCCACCTCACCCTCTGTTACCTCCAGTGGGATGAGGCGATGAACTGATCGTCGATACTCCTTGCCTTTGATCTTCACGTTGACTGCACGGACGACACCATCTTGCCCTGGGTATGTGGCTGTGACGCGTCCCAGAGGCCATGTCGCGCGCGGAGTACTCTCATCCATGACAAGGAAGACCTCACCCTCCTCGACGTCTTTTGCCTTCCTGTACCACTTGGACCG